GAGAGAGAAAGAGACAACAAGTATTTGCTCATTTCCTGCTGTACCAGACAGAGGAATTTCAAAGGTTTTGAAGGCGACCTTTAAGTCAGGTCTGTCCAACTCATTATTGCACAACGCGTGGCGTCTTTGTTGATTTCCTTTTATTCTCCACTGGCTGAACAGGCACTTGTGTTTTGCTGTGTGCATTTTACGATCTGTGAATTTCATTGATGCAGCCATATTAAATTTTATGCCTGTTACTGTACGTGTAAACTCCTACACCACTGCAGCTCAGCCGTCAAGTGGCAGACCATGACACATACCATTTTATGAGCCCCTGCTCCGTCGAACGGTCTCACCGTTTGGGACAAAATGTAGGGTGTGTGGATGTAAAACTTTAGGAGGATGGTATCAATTTTATGTAGTCTGTAAAAGTATGCATTTGCCCACTCATATTGTGTAGCTTTATGTTCACTTTGTGACACAGTAAGGCTGCTCCTGCACTGCAACGGAGCAGCAATGCAAGGCCTCGGCTCCAGGAGACGCTCGTCACATGGTGTCACATTTAAAGGCAAGGCTGCGCTTGAAATATGAAGAAAGTGTCGCTTCTGCAGAAGTGAGGCCAAAATGTCAGTGGGATTTGTTCATCCTGAACTTTGCCGTTTGCCCTTGCTTCTCATTTTCAAAGCAAAGGCCTACCTGAACCAAACGGGATCAACTTCAGGCTGCTGAATACACTCAATCTCAAGGAAAAGAGAGAAAGAGTGCTTTTTAAAAAAAAAACAAAAAAAAAAACATCGACGATGTGGTCTTCAGGCTTGAAGTTGAATTCTCAGAAATTTGGCAGCAAAAACCTTTCGAGGCAAAGTGATCTGAATGACTAACATCCTCCAGGACAGCACGGCTTAAGCTGTATCACCTGAGGTTGGAGAGATTCTAGACCAACTCTGTTGTTTTTAATTAAAGCAGAACAATGTTATGATTCATGTGAAGAAGGTAAGAGTAAATTAGTTAATGGGAAGCTTACATTGTTCTCATTTTTAAGCCTTATTTTTCAATTTATTTCCTCTTTAGCTACAGTCAGGTGGCTTCAGGCTCATGACTGTGTTGGACGTAAATCCAGGAATTTATTAATTGGAAAAAAAAACCTTCTCTTCCAAGTTAAATATTTTCGTCTTTTTGTCCACCAGCCCTGATGGTTTGCGTGGTCGTTCTCCATGATTTTAGCTGTCACCGGTTAATTTGAACTAAATGATTCTGAATGATTTCAGACAGAATAGGCCACGCTGCTCTTAATTTGTGAGGCGCACCATTAATACATGGTTGATGAGCTCGAGGAAAACAAGTGAGCAGGTTAACAGGGACATGGTAAATTACACCTGCACACCTGGCCTAGAGGGAAGGTGTGACTTTGAGATAATGCTCAGTCTTTTACTGGTCCACTGCCGTTGGAGACTATTTCTGGAGGAGATACGGAGAAGTCGAAGCAGATTCTCCCAAACCAGCACACGAGGTGGTAAAGGGCACGGGAGGAGTGCGGCATACAAATGATTACCCGCCAAACGTTGTCCAATGTCAACGATTTGTGCGTCTTTCGATAGACGCCAGCAGGCTTTTAATCTAGTTAGTGTAGTTTGCCTTTCATCGTCCCCTACTGTACCTATATAAGGACAAAGGACTGCATTAATTCCGTGGGACGTCTCTGCTGCTACATTAGAATGCAAACCTTGTAACTGTTGCCCTAAATTTGGTACCTGTGTGAGCACACATTTATGCGTGCATTTGTGAGTGTGTGTACACACTCACACACACACTGATTTCTGTATAACTCTCTCTCCCCCCCACCCGCAGTTTTCTGGGTGTGTGAGGCAGAGAGAGCCAGATTATAGATGACACTAAAACGGCTCTAATCAGGGCAAGCTGGTCGCTGATCTCTTCATAGGGCGACGGTGTCATTGATTGATGGCTGCACGACTTGCTGATGTACACAGGTTGAAGGCTGAGGGGAGGGGAGCTGATCAGCACAAGTGGCGGAGAAAATTGTGGGAACAACCTCCAGGCTGTCCCTTAATATTGCAGCACTTTGAGCTGAGCTGAGATGCTGGGATTGGATCACATATGTCACCACCTGCTCGGCTCATGTGTGACCCCAGAGAGGAAAATCTGGGATGCTGTTATTGTAGAAAGAGATGTCTACGAAAGAGGCAGACCGGGACACACTTCTCGGTCTCTGGGGATTTATTGTATTAAAGGTTTCTGACCATGGCAGGTCCAACAATGAATCTCATCTGAACATTCACCAACAAATCCCAACTTCTGATACATGATGATCCTTCTTATAGGCATAGACAAACATGGTGTTACGCCACATTTGGCTGTTATTCTGACTAAACATGGTCAGACACTTTCCAGATGCCGGCATGAGGATGTTGCCTAATATTTGGCTCACATTCAGCTAGTAACTGGATAAACATGTTCATTCTCCCAGGTCATCTTGACCTGTTCTTGCATGTGCCTGTCTCCCGTCCTCCTGTTATTCTGGCGTCAGTTTGGCCTGTTGACCTGTTGTTTGGCCATGTCAAAATATAGCAACAGCTTCTTCTTGTCAGTGCTTGGCGTTTCCTGTGATTCTGGTCTACATAATGTTTTTCTCTACCACACCGTTTTTGTTCGGAAAAAATGACACAATGTCAGAGATGGATGTCAGTAACTGGACAACAGGAGAACAGAGCATTAACCCACTCATAAAGAAAACTGAAAGCTACATGTGTGGGGAGGGGAAAGGGGGGGTCAAAGTGTGTGTATAATTAGTTTTGATTGGTTTGATCAAGTAGTGGTACAGACATATAGGCGTCTGGCCCTTCTGAGGATAATGCTGTCTGTGTGGCCATTAATTATTGAATAAGACTTGAATGACAAACGGTTAATAATTATAATGTGATAATCCATGGGACTGACACTGGAGAAATCTCACCAAAGCAATTCCTTTTTTTTTCTTTCCCTCTTCACGACCAGCTCATCAATGCTCTGCCAAATCTGCAGTGATATGTGTTTTACGATGGTTTAAAATTCACCGCAGGAACTCCACAGACTACAGGAGTGAGGATTTAGTTCTTGCAGTTTGAAATGAGCTCATCAGTCAGCCCCACATACCTGATATTGGGTTTGGCAAGAGAAGTGATATTATCTTCTCCTGGAGAGACTTAGTTTTAGTACGTTTGATTGGGTAATGGGGCGGCCGGGCCTCAGTGACTGTTGCGCTTGGCGCTTGCTTCCAGCTTGGCTGCATATCGTCAAAGAGTCTTGGGGGAATTTGTTTCGGGTCAGTGACAAAAAAGGAGCTCAATACAGCACTGCAGAGTCAAGCTGGGGCCTTCCCTCCGTCTGCATCACTGACTGGCTGCTGTGGCTGGAGGCACAGTGGCAGTGGCATACTGATGCTGATGCTGCTGCTGATGCTGATGCTGCTGCTGCTGATGATGACTGTATAAGTAAATATTGATGATAGCAAGAAACAGATGAGAGCAGTAAACATGGAATTTATAACCCAGATGACCAAAGTGTGATGCTCAACAGCTCGCCCCTCCTCTCCCTGTTGTTGTTTTTTTTCTCCTTGCTTCTATGTGATTCACAGTTTCCACGGCAGTGAGAAAACACGATGAGATGCCTGGAGAGAAGCGTGGGCACACTGTCGCACAAAAATCAGATGTGCGTCCTCTTGGATATGTTTGGTGTTTGGCACATGTTTTGGTGATGTCATAGTAAGATGGTGGTGATGACACACACACCAGACATCGTCCCTGGGGACCGCTAAAGGCCACAGTTGGTGTAGTTAGCAGAGCTACGTACTGTTGCGGTGATAAATCACGGATTGGGCTCCACGTATGGGACGATTACTCTGGTGCCATGATGTGAACCTGAACATACGTTCTGCATTTCTTTTCCAAATCCCTGGACTCCCTGCAATGTACGTGCAGTGTTGACTCAGTTGTACTACAGCATGTCGT